CAATTCAAATAATCTTAACTTCATTTGTTTTCTGAACACACACAAGAGCCAGTTCTACATTTTATGAGTGCGGCTTTTTGAAGTTGTATTTGATGTTTCCATCTCTAATGTCATGTATGTCATGACTTTACTGACTTCTGAATAAGCTACTGGTAAGGACATTCTGTTCATTGTATTTCATTTTTTATTTATTATTATTATTATTGTTATACTCCGGTTTTCTTCCCACAGTCCAAAGACATGCAGTCAGGCTGACTGGAGATGCTAAACTGCCCCTAGATGTGAATGTGTGCTGGAGTGGATATGTCTGTCTGTATGCCCTGCAATGGACTGGCGACCCGTCCAGGGTGTTTTGTGGCCTTCCGCCCAATGACCGCTGGGATAGGCTCCAGCTCCCCCTGTGACCCAGAAGGATAATGTGTGTGTGTAAATATTATTATTAGTGTTGTTATCCATATGAACTGTTATGCGATAGATGGCATTTCTCTGTCATATACAGATGTTTGGGGACTTTACATTCAGAAATCTCTCTCAGTAAGAGCTGAAAAGTGATAGCATTCTTTTTAACCTCTTTAACTCCTTGGAACCACCGGTGGTTCCAAAACGCACTTCATCATATTCTTTACTTCATAACTGTCATATTTCATAAGCTTCATTCAAAAGGTGGGGGTCGTATGAGAGCTGTAACTGTCTTCTTTCCAGTTAAATAGATGAGTAAAGTCATTTTAAAACTTTTTAATAAAAGAAGCTGAACTGAAAGTTGACCCCCCACAAATCTGAGCTATAAACTGGATCTCAGATGGTGTCTCAATATTTTTATAAAAAAATACAAAGAGCGTCTAAGATTTTTGGCTTTCAGCAGTAAATTGTAAGCATATGGCAATATGTTTATGATCATAAAGCACATTTTCTGTTAATTTGAGGGGAGCTTTTCCAAAAAAACACCAACACTTTATATTTGATTCTTGCAGTTACTGAATAATTTGCATTCAAATGGAAAAAAAAATGAAATATACCCTGGAGAATAACTGGTTAACAATACTTTTGTCTCCTTTTCAGTCCAGCTCTACCTCTGCACCATGCTGTTTGTGATTGTTGTACGAGGAATGTAAGGTGACATGACACTAAATGTCTTCTTTTTCCTGGAAAATAACATTTTTAATGAGGTTTTCACAGCATTTCAGGGATTGTTACACAATTTTTCCACTACAGTTGAACAGAAAATCTTTTGTTGGCAGTTTCTACTGATAGTTTCCGATTCCATAGATCGATGGACTTTATGAAGCACTGCGACGCTTTTCCCATAAAAAATCCTTTGGATGGAAACACAGCTAATAAAAAACTGCTACATCCAAGACAAAATATATGTCAATGTCTGTTGTGTTTTAAAAATATTTAGATTTTTTACAAACTTCAGTTGTTTGTGTTTAATCTAGAATGGCCAAAAAATGCTCCTGTGCACCAGTGTTAGCTTAGCGCACACATACTATTAGAAATCCCATAGGGAGGCCAGCAGAAATTAGAATTAGTTCCCATTTTTTGACCGTGTTTTGACTTTTCTGGCACGAACTTAAGGCCTAGCTCTAGTCATGAATTTGCCACTGCATGTTTTCAAACCCTCACAGCCGTATCTATAAAATAATGAAGCAGATAGCCTAGATCAGCCTAGAAAGACAGAGAGAGGACATAATGTGAAACAGAGAGCTCATGTTTTTTTAAGTGAATCTTTCTGCCAACTCCACAAAACAGAGGTTAACCAGGCAGGCAATTAACCTACACAATCAGCACTGCACACTGAGCTCCCCTGCAGAGCGTCGCACAGTTAGAGGAACTGAGGTGACCTTGCGTAAGTGTGTCAAATAGAATAAAGAGACACAGCACTTGTGTTGTATTGAGCTATTAGTGAAGTACTGTTACTAACAATTTAGCCAAACTAGAGCCCAAAAATACAGACTTGAAAAAAAAGGTTCTTCAAGGGATCTTTAGTAAAGGCAATGGATCTATTTTGGCTATTTTGAACCATGACTTCTATATAGAACCATTGCATGCTTAAATGGGTCTTTGTACAGTGAAGATTGATGCAGAATGTGTTGTATATGGTTCTATATAGAACCGTTTTGAAAATGTCTCTATATAACACCATAGAAGGTTCTGCTTTTGTTACAATGTCAAGCTTATAACAATATAATAACCTTTTTTGGTGCCATTATTCAAAAATGTTCTATATAGAACCATATACAACACATCCCGCATCAATCTTCACCATGAAAAGACCCATTTAAGTATGCAGTCATTCTGTTTAGAACTCATGGTTCTAAATAGAACTACTACCTTTACTAAATAACCCTTGAAGAACCATCTGTTCTAAGTGTGCATGATATACTGTACACTACATGTCCAAAAGCCCTTCTAAAGAGTGAATTCAGCTAGTTTAAGATGTATAATCTCCATAGAAAAGCACTGACCAATAGAATAGGACACTCTGGAGCAGCTGCACATGAGCCTAAGGTCACCATGTCCAATGCCAAGCGTCGGCTAGAGGGGTATAAAGTCCCCAGCATTGGGCTGTGGAGCAGTGGAACTGTGTTCCCTGGAGTGATGGAGCTCCATCCAGTACCTTTGGGATGAGTTGGAGTGATCCAGAACTGACCATCCAACACCAGTACCTGACCTCACTAATGCTCAATCAAATCCTCACAGCAATGTTCCAACATCTAGTGTAAAGCCTTCCCAGAAGAGTAGAGGCTGTTACTGCAGCAAAGAGGGACAAACTCACTATTAACACCCTTCATTTCAGAAGATGAGCAGGTGTCTAGTAACTTTAGCATGTATAGTGTATGAATCATGCTTTTTCATATGTAATGATTTTTTATTTCATGGAAATCTGGGCCTTCTTTGAAGGTCTAGCAGGATCTGAGGGTTCCCCACTGCTGAATAGGGATCCTTCTGTATCTGCGCTCCCATTTTGGTCAAAATCAGTCTGAAAATAACACTACCCACTCGTGTAGCCTCGTACTGTACCTGGTGCCATGACAACGCAGGTCCTGATCCAAACCCAGAGCGATTAGTGAGCGAGCGTCATCAGCAAAGCCAAACTCTCCCCTCTCTCTCTCACACATACACACACACACACACCTGCAGCCAGGCTCATACATGCATCCCACACACATGATGATCAAAACCAAAACATTTTCTCAAACAACAAACATGCACCGCACACACATCAAGCCATCTCCGCCTCATTACCGGAGAAAAAGGCCTCTGTGTGTCACTTCAAAGCAGGAGCAGAAGCTGCTGGTCGTCTTTACGGCAAAAAGAGAAGCTCAGCACAGATCACTCACGATGAGTATACGCAGGGAAAACCAGGAGGAGAGACAAAAGAGCGTAAAACACCAGCGATGGAGCAGAAAAACAGAGTGAACACAATACGACTCTGCTGTGGATCTGGGTTAAAGGAGAATTCCATTGATTTTCAAAAATTTCTGCACAATTCAGTGGTTGTGATGTAGACAAAACTCATTCAGAGTGATTTGATGTGAAATGGTTCAATGTAAACTTAAAGACTCAGATGTCTTTACAGTGGTGGTGATTGGAACCAGTGGTCACCATGACTACAACACAAATATAGCCATTTTATTTAGATCTTAGCTTCTTTGGAGACTAATTTGCCTTATTTTGCCTTTCAAAAATGTGCTTACAGCCATAATCTTACTCCAAAACTGTCGTTAAACAATGCCTCAGGCATCAGGCCACGTATTCATAAGCATTTCATGTAATAACGTTCTATGAGGGAGATTAACTCAAATGAATGCTTTTGAATGAAACCATGAACAACGATCAACAATGAACTGAAACCTCAGAAACACTTCAAATCAACTTCATCCCTGTTACACTTTTTACGGTGAACTCCTCAGACGTCTGGTTCCCATCACTACCACTGTGAACAACTCTGACTCTGTGAGTTTCTCTAGAATGGAGCGTCTCACACCAAACCACTCTGAATGACTGTTTACATCTTAATTATTTGATTTAATGTCTAAAGGAGTTTGATGTCTCTAAAAGCTCCCTCACAGAAAGTTATTAGATGAAGTGGTTATGAATTCATGGCCTGATGTCTGAGACACTGTTTTATGATAGTTTTGAAAAGGTTTTGGTCTAAAATGTATTTTTTCACACAGAGAATTTATCCAAAAAAGAAGAAATGTCTCCAAAATGGTAACTTTACAGGAGAGGGCAAAAAAAACTCTCACTTTTCAATGTAAGTTAATGTAAAAAGATATTATTTCAAGTGATTGTAAAACATTTCTATTGGTTCATTCATAATGACATTTCCAGACAAGCTGGTGTGTTGAAATGGTGTAGAAAAATAAAAAAATATTAAATTGAGTTTCATGGTTTTCTTTGGACAGTGACAACATGTACAGACATTCAAACATCTCTTTAGCTCCTTTCACACACACACATACACATCATCTAAACCGCTTATCCTTCTGGGTCGCGGTGGGGTGCTGGAGCCTATCCCAGCTGTCATTGGGCTGAAGGCAGGATACACCCTGGACAGGTCGCCAGTCCATCGCAGGGCGCTCCTTTCACAGTGACTCTTTATCTAATCTCTAATTTTTTGTTCTATTTATTGTATTTTTATTTTATTTGTGCCTTGTTTACAGTCTGTGTGCCTGTCTGGTCTGTTCAGGATGTTACATGTGTGTCTCACCAAGGCAAATTCCTTGTATGTGTAACATACTTGGTGAAATAAAGTGATTTTAATTCTGCTATTACATATTTTTTATGTTATTTATAGATGATCCAATGACTGCTATTACTGTCACTATGAGATAATTTAACTGGGGCTGGTCTTTCAGTCTTTATTCGGCACTTTGGGTGACGATGGGCCGTTTCAGGTCAGTATCAGACAGAACCTGATGATGTGGGTCATGTCAGGTTCAGACAGATTTGTTTGGGCTGTTTCTCAGGCTTTATGTGTGTTTCTATGCACTCACCCAGCCACCCTGCTCCAGAGTTGGGCACACACATGTCGGTCTCAGCGCTGGGCAGGACGAATCCGACCACGAACACCTCCACGCCGTCGGACATGAGCGCCAGCCCCAGCACCAGGAACAGCTGCCACTGGAACCTGCCGTGCCCGCACTCCTGAATAATCAGCTCATACTGCTGCGCTAGCTCCTCCTCCTCCGCCTCGCGCTCCTTCTCCAGCTCCCTCCTGTCCTTCAGTCCGTCCGACACCGGCCGGCCCATCGCCATCTGACCCCCGCCCTCGGCCGGCACGCCCTGGTACTCGCCCTCATAGATCTCGTCTTCATCGTCGTGACCTTCTGTGGCATCGCTGGAGCCTTCGTCATCCTCACGCTGCTGGACCTTCAACAGGCAAATCAGAGATTCAGATATGTGAACCTCAGTGTTTAACCCCTTAAACCACAAGGGCCTCTAATTCAACACCTCTCATAAATACAGTTTACAGAGGGGCACAGGACTGATTACTGAATAATACCCAGTAGATACTCAATCATTCATAATAGGTACTGAAAATTTCATAATGGTTAGTGAATAATTTATACTAGGTACTCATTAATACATACACATACATACATACCTGAATAATTAATACATACATACATCCTGAATAATTAAAACTAACAACTGAATCATTCCTAGTAGTTATTGAAAAATACACAGTAGTTAATGAATAATTCATAGTGGTTATTGAAATAATATATACAAGTTACTAAATAACTCATAGTAGTTAGTGAATAATTTATACTTGTTACTGTATAATTCACCATACATACTGAAGAATTCATGGTGGTTAATAAATAACTTTTCATGGAGCAGTTGCTCCATAATTCATTGATATTAGTACTTACTGAAAATTTTATAGTGGTATCTGAAAAATGTATACTAGTTACTAAATAATTCTTAGTAGTTATTGACAAATACTTAGTGGGTGCTGAACATTTCATAGTAGTTACTGAATAATTCATAGTAGTTACTGAATAATTCATAGTGGTTGCTAAATAACTCATTGTGGTTACTGAATAATTTATATTAGTTCCTGAAAAAAATTACACCAGTTTTGAATAATACATAGTCCTTTTTTGAGTAATTTGTACTAGTTACTGAATAATTCATTGTAGTTACTGAATTATTTATACTAGTTAATGAATAATTCATAGCGGCTACTGAATAAATTATTGCAGTTACTCCATAATTCATGGTAGTCACTTGAAAACTCAGTAGTAGCTACTAGTATACTAATAATTCATAGTGGTTACTGAGTCCCACCACGCATTACACCACGATTAAGGTTACTGTTGTTATTGGCAATGAAGTCTACAATGCCTCCACTAACAGAGCACCTAGCAGGCAAATAACTGTGTATAAACAATGAGTGGGAAAAATGACATTGGTTGAAGATAATGTTTATGTATTAAACAATCCCCCGCCCTCACAAATTAAGTCGTAGCAAGTTCCCACCAACTACATAGGTCTCTCCGTCACACGAAACCTGCCATCGCATCCTTTCAAACTGCTGCTAATGCAACTTCATGGCTGTGACATCACAAAGGATGGAACTTGCAATCTAACGATGAGAGGGCCAACCCTTGGACTCTTGGGAGTCCTGAATTTTCATTTAGGTGTATCATCACCTGCATTTCATCTGGGAACAAAATCAGGTCTACAACTCTGTATTCGCTTTTGCTCTGGACAGCTAAACTTGCTTGTATTTGCCAACCATTGAGCAGTTTCACTGTAATAAGAGAGGAAGTGCTGCTACCTGCTGGGGGCAGTCGTGGGCTGGAGGAGGTTAGGGAACCAGCCTTGTGAACGGAAGGTCGCGGTTCGATCCTCTCAGTGCCCTTGAGCAAGGTACCTAACCCCTAGCTGCTCCCCGGGCGCCGTGGATCTGGGCAAGTGTGCTCACTGCCCCCTAGTGTGTGTGTTCACTAGTGCGCATGTATGTGGGTGTTTCACTGCACGGATGGGTTAAATGCGGAGGTCTAATTCCAATGTGTTCAAACACAGTTGGCTAAAGGTTCATTCATACCTGCCCGTCCTGGTAGTAGTAGCGGTCGTCCTCCTCATCCTCATCGTTCTCAAAGCGACTGTAGGAGCGTCCCGAGTACTCGTCAGAGGCGCGATCCATGACCTTGTTGGCCTTTTTGACCGCGTGCCGTTTGGCTTCTTTGGCGATGTCCCGAGCGCCGCGGGCCAGAGAAGTCCTCTCCCTGTAGGGGTCCTCCATCATACACTGTTCACACAGTTACGCAAAACTTCTGTGAGGTCCCAAAAGTTATGGAATTATTCAGATGGGGAAAGAGCTGCAGAGCAAAAGAGGCCCAGAATGTGGAGCTCAGTCTGCGCTGTAAAGTCCAACGTCCACTTTATTTATTTAAACCTTGAGGTGAAGGCTGTGTCCATCCAAAGAACCAGAAATACACCCTGCAAAAGAGACAAAAATGGCTGTAAATCTTTGACTTCAGAACAATTTGATTAAATTATGATTCTATAGGAAATATTTCAGTGCATTTTTACCAAGATTCGGTTTGATTATTTATTAGGGTTAGGATTAGGGCCAGGGTTTGATTAGGTTTTGGGTTGAGGTTAAGGTTAGGGCTAGGATTAGGGCCAGAGTGAGGGTTAGGATTAGGTTTTGGGTTGAGGTTACACATTCTCCATCAATCTGAAAAACCATTTCACCATACAAACACTCTGAGTGTTCATGGTTCTATGTAGACCTATTGTCTTCACTAAAGAACCCTTGAAGAACCATCTTTTTTACGAGTGTGAGTTAGTCTATCATGTTGAAACCGTTGATACTGACGCCTGGTATCGGATCAGAGCGATCTCTGTGCATCCTTTATTTATATCTATATCATTAAAACAACTTCTAATCAGCTCTAACATTACAGTTGATTTGCTGTGTTCAGATCTTAAGGCATCCCTAAAAAAGAAAACAGAGGCCTCCAGAAGATTCACACATTCACACTGCAGTGATAAAAAGCAGGAACCCGAAGGAGAGAAGCCGGGCGTCCACTGTACGGTGGAAACGTCTCCTGATCACACTTACTGACAGAGCGTGAGGGGCTTTGAAGCTGTAATCACACTTTCAGAGTCTGTAAGCCTCTGCATTTACAGCTTCTCATTAAACACCTTCCCAAATACGTTTGATGAATAATTAATAGATTTCTCTATTAGGTTTCATTAATTGGTTGGTTAATTAAGATCATTGTGGTATCATATTAGATTCAATCGATTTCTCCTTCTGAGTTTGTTGCTGCATGATGCTAAAAAGTAAAGGCCATTCAGAGCTTTCAGATCACCAAGTCTGGAGAGGCAGGGCGAGAGACATTAGTAACAGAGAGACTGCAGTAACGCTGATGTGGTGCGTTAGTGTGTGTTGCGCTGGTTTGAGTGGATCAGAAAAAATGTGTCACGCATTCCTCCGGCCCTGACTCTCTAGTGGACTGGGTGAACACATGACTGTGACAGCACCTCAATCCACCTATCAACGATTTGCTTCACCCGATTCCTGGTTTTACTCACCTGTTCCCTGTACCGTATGGTCTGTGTTAGACAGTTTATTAGCCCGGGCTTTAGTTTTAGTCTTCGTGGGATATTGTATCTCTTGCGAAGCTAATGAGCATTCAATCCCCTGTGTTGGTTATTCTGTTCCGGTTCTGACTTTGCTTTTCTTTTTTTGGACTTTGCCTTTACGCCTGTTCCCTTTCTGGATTTGTCTGCCTGATCTTTTTTGTCTATTTTTGCATCTTGTTTTTTTTAACCTGACCTTTGCCAGTTTTTTGATGATGACTTTGGATCACAATCTAACTAGTAAAGCTCCTTGTACTCCCTTTATCTGCACGCGTCTGATTATTTCTGTCTCGCTACAAAAATACTGCGTTTTAGACAAAGCTCAAAAATTTGGTATGTATAAACTTTAGAATATATCATGTTTAAAGTCCACTATTCAGCATTTTTTGCCAAATTAAGGTCTTTTGATAAACTCTGACTGCTATTCATTTTCTGTCTTCTGTCTATGAAAAAAAGCCTTGTTAGGCCTCATTGGCCCAAACTGTGAAGGCCTTATTGTGCTTAAATGTGCTTGGACCCAGAATTGCTACTTCTGGCTATATTTATAACTATTTTTAGCTGTTGCTCATTGTGTTACTAATTGTCAAAATTAGTTTTTTTTCCCTAAGTGGTAATTTAGCTGCTGGTGAACTGAACCTCAGTTTGTCAGAACATTGACAAACATTGTATTGTTACAGCTCTTCACATTTACAGGCCACAATTAAGCCAATTAGCTGATCATTGGACAATTATTTCACACGAATAATTGAATATCATAATGAATTTTTTTGCAGCCCTGCTAAATATAAGTTCTAATTCCTTCCTGCTACGCTGCTGCACATTAAGGCCTCAGTAATGAATGAGCAGCACAGTGGTAGCTTAAAAAAGAGAATGAAAGGACGAACAACTCCGTATGCAAAATTTTCATCACTGAGATACACCAGACTACCCTGTTACCATGGATACCACGCAGTATGGGGCAGTCATCACTGCTAACGGCGTAAACCACAGGAGATAAAAAAAGAGAATAACAGAAAAAAAAGAAAGAATGAGAGAGAGACAGGAAACGGCAAACGGCAAGAAAAGAACAGCAGCAGGTCTCCTTTTTACGTCCTGGATGGATGAAACGGATATGTCCATTAAAGAAAACGGAGACTATAAAGTGTCCCTGAAATGATCTGCTTTAAAAGCTCCAGACAGGAACCTAAACAAGTGTCCCACAGCCCCCTCAACACCTGCACTGATTTTTACAACAGAGGGCTCAGTCGTGCCCCCGAGTACTGCAGGTGTAAATGAAGTGGTAGAGACTATACATTATGTGTCCATAAGTTTGTAGACACCTGCTGCTTCTTCTGAAATGAAGGGTATTAATAGGGAGTTTGTCCCTCTTTGCTGCAGCCACAGCCTTGACACCTCTGGGAAGGCTTTACATAACATGTTGGAACATTGCTGTGAGGGTTTGATTGCAGTTAGCCATAAGAGTAGGGTAGAGGTCAGGGCTCTGTGCAGGCCAGTGGAGTTACTCTACACCAAAATCAGTAAACCATATCTCTGTGGAGCTCACTGTGTGCACAGGGGCTCAGTCAGGGGCTCTTTCCCCAACTGTTGACCCAAAGCTGGAAGCATATAATTGTCTAAAATGGCTTTGTATGCTGTAGCATTAACATCACCCTTCACTGGAACTAAGGGGTCCAAACTGTGAAAAACAGCCCCAGCTCATTATCCCTCCTCCACCAAACTTTACTGTTGGCACTATGCATTCCAGTAGTTAGCATTGTCATCCGCCAAACCCAGGTTCGTCCGTCAGCCTGCTGGATAGTGAAGTGTGATTATTCACTCCATAGAACATGTTTCCACTGAGTCCAGTGGCGGCTTTACACCACTCCAGCCGATGCTTGGCATTGCACATAGTGATCTTAGGCTTAAGTGCAGCTGCTTTAATGAGTGCAGCTGGTGCATATTTCTGGTGCTGATGTTTCCTCTAGAAGCAGTCTGTAACTCTGTAGTTAGCATTGCAACAGAGTATTGGCGATTTTTACACACACTCGGCAGCCCTGCTGTGAAAATCTGCATGGTCTACTGCTTCATGTCTGAGCTGTTCTTGCTTCTAAATGCTTCCATTTCAAAATACAAGCACGTACAGTTGCCTGAGGCAGACCTGGCAGGGCAGAAATTTCATGCACTGTTTTGTGATAAAGGTGGCATCCAATGACAGTGCCACGTTTAAAGTCACTGAGCTCTTCAGCATGAAATATCCTAGTGACAGTGTTTGTCTATTGAGACTGCAAGACTATGTGCTTGATTTTATACACCTGTTAGCAATGGGTGTGGCTGAAACACCTGAATGTAATAATCAATAGGGGTGTCCTCATGTAGTGTACCTACACTATAGTCATATGCAAAAGTTTGGGCACAATTCTATACATGTTTATTTTACATTTTAATGCACGACCACTGTTTACTTGCTGAATTTAACACATTGGAGAAAAAACATAATATATGGCCTGTGCAACTGTTATGACACACACACACACACACACACACTCAATATGTCCACTACACACTACAAATTGAAGTAGTAAACACTGATTACTGTCTACTACATGTTACAGAATGAAACAAAGGCAAACATTCATGTCTGATCTGGTCTTTAATGGATTTTTATGTGTCAGTGAGGTGTAATTTTGACGTTGCTGCATATGCTATAATATAATACAGCATATTACTGTAACAGCCCTCTGTGGAGTACATTAGGCTAATAATATCAAACCTAACTAGTCATTAGAGTCCTATGACGCAAGGCTTTAATGTGAGAGTGTGAGAAATGGTGTGCAATACAGTGCACACCAGAAACCTTCGTTAGAAACTCGCTGGGTTACGCTGAGTTAAGGGTAGCGCTGTTGAATGACTGAACCACGTTTCAAGCTGTGGTAAAAAAATAAAAAATACACCAATAGCAGCAAACATTAAAAATGTTAAACAGCTACCATGGAATCATCTTTAATCATAATACATTTTATTGAACAGTATTTTATTATACTGTATATTATTTGTCATAGAGCTGCCGCTGCTGTTTTCCATTTCTAACAAATAACTCAAACCTGGCTAGACTGTGGCTCATATTCATGGTCAGAGATGTATCGAGAACTTCCAGGATGACTCCAGTGACTTTTGTTGATAAATGAATCACATTGTAAATCAAAACATGATTGGTTGATTCTTCTGTCACTTCTCATTATGTTGAAAGTTAATCAAAAGGCCTTCAGGCCAGCTCCAGAAGTCCTAACCATAGGGGAGCTCGCTCAGCTGTATCTACCTAGATAGCACAGAGAAAACAATCCTTATTGGCCAATGTTCCTTTGGGTGCGTCAAAATTTTAAGCCTTTTGTTTACAACCAAATTTAACAGTGGAATTAGGGTGTTACTACAATACTGTCAGACTTTAGATACGAAAAGCCTGATGAAATTTGCTGATTTGAACATACTGGAAGAAATTAGAACGTTTAGTATTAGATGACTTTTGCATCAATATGCAAATTTCCAACATGTTAAATTCAGTAAATAAACAGTAAGATGTGCAGAAGTGTGTTCTCTCTAGAGGATGGGTTCTTTTCACTACAACACGTCATCTATCACAGCTCCGACTCACACATGGACTCCATTTCCCAGAATCCCTGTGGGAGATCACGAGTAAGTTGAATCCTCCAATCACCAGAATACTGATGTTTTGTACCAGTTCTATAGGTCAC